GATTGTGACCTCCAGCTTCTCCTTGATGTCCGCTTCGAAGTGGTCCAGTAGCTCCGTGTCGTCGCCGATGTAGAGAAGATCGTCGACGTAGGCGACGAGGAGAATGAATTTTCGAGGGACTCCTTCCGGTACATTCCGAGGTCGTGAGGCAGCTGTTTGAAACCGAGCTCCGTGAGGACGGTGTGCGGAAACTGCTGCCACAGGCGAGGTGCTTGCTTGATTCCGTAGAGAGATGTCTGAAGTAGGCAGACTGCGCCTTCATTTTACTCGAAGGCATGTGGTTGCTCGACAAAGATAATGACGTCTACTGGAGCGTACAAGAATGCACTGCCGACGTCGATCTGGCGAAGTGGTCGCTGTTTAACGGCTGCGATGCAGATGAGGATGCACACGGAGGTGTGCCGCCCGACAGGTGCGTAGGTGAGATCGAAATCCACCAAATAAGTTTGCTCGAAGCCGCGCACCACCCACCGCACTTTGTATTTGTCGATGGAGCCATCCGCCAGTGTCTTAATGCAGAAAACCCATTTTCCGCTGAGAATTTTCCTCCCCTTCGCAGATGTCCGGGGAACCAACTTCCATGTTCCACGGGTCTTGAGCGCTGCGACCTCCTTAGCCATGGCTGCCTTCCATTTTTCACTGTCGGGGCCAGAGAGAGCTTGGCGAACGGTGGTGGGTTCTTTGGGGGAGTCGTGGCGAACGGCGACTGCGAGCCCGAGGATGCGGAGGCCGGTTTTGTTGGTCTTTTCATAGTGCATGCGATCGTAGTCGTGGAAGCTGGTTACTTCGAAAACGTCGTCGTCGGTGTCGTTGCCGAGGCGGAGAGTGTCCTGCGAGAGGTTTGGTGCTGGTAACTCGGCATCCGGGAATCGGCGCGCATCGCTGTTAAAGTTGTGGGCTTCGCGAGTTGTATCATCGGGATCGAAGTGGTGTACAGGTATGAAGGTTGGAGTTTGGAGCGGGCTTGTAAGGGGGATGCTGGGTGCCCTGTCAAGCTGGGTGACAGTTGTTGCATCCACATCTTCTGCCAGGTCAGCTTCGTCGTGTGAGGTGGCGAAGGTGCGGTGTCCCTCGAAGACCCTTTCCGGTGCTGTGTCAGCTTCGCGGTGTTCGTTGAACAGTGGCAGAGTCAGCTTCTCATAGAAGATGCAGTCACGTGATTTTGTCACTTCGTGTGTCGCGTAGTCCAGCACGATCCACGCCTTGTATTCCTTTTCGATTCCGAGGTATATGCCCCAGCGTGCCCGGTCAGTAAACTTTCCGGTCCTTGCTGTGTGGGGCCTGTACTGTACCATGCAGCCAAACACCCGAAGTAGACGCGTGTCCGCTTTTCTGCCCGTCCAGGCTCTGTAGGGAGAGTTGTTGTTCTCGAGGCTTCGTGAGGATAGTAAGTTGTGCAGGCGGACTGCATGGTTCATCGCGAACGGCCAGTCCCTGGTTGGGATGGCTGACTGCTTCATCACGGCCCTTATCCTGGTGGCGAGGCTCCTGTTTGTCCGTCCTGCTACTCCTTGTTGCTCGTGAGCGTAGGGCAGGGACAAGAGGTGTTCAATCCCTTTCCGCTTAAAGAGCTCCTTGAACTCATCTGAGAAGAACCCCAGAGCTCTGTCCGTCTGCCAGCATTTTAGCTTAAGCCCCGATTGTTGTTCGGCCCGCTTCATCCACGCGATGAAGCACTCGAAGGCGAGTGACCTGCAGTCGGTATTGACAGCCCAGACGTAGCGAGTGCTTGCGTCGATGAAGGTAAGTGTGTAGGATTCGCCGTCGAGCCCTCCCTGAGTTTAATTCATAAGATCGCTGTAGACTTTATCGAGCGGTTTGTAGTGTTCGTAACCGGGCAGTAAGTCGGGGAAGGGCTTGTGGGCGAGTGACGCAGTAGAACACACTGTGCATGGCGGGTCTTCCGAGTCTGCTGTGAGGGAGCCTTCGCGAGGAAGGAGTAATGCTCCGTCGTCGAAGACGCCGGCCCCGAGTGAGTTTTTGAGTGTTGCGTGAGAAGGGTGGCCGAGCCGTTGATGCCAGATTTCTGGTTCTGCGCGGTAGCCAACCGTCTTCTGATAATATTTGTTTCTTGCTGCTGCGTCGTTTTGCTCCTTTCCAGGTCCTGTGTTGGCGGTGTCGTCAGTCTCGGCGGCGAAGACTTGATTTGACTTCTGTTCCAGAAGCGCGTGTGGGATTCCAATGATGTCGTCGGTGTCGCCAGCGTCGACTTGGTCGCCTGTGACAAGCAGGCACTGATTAGGCCATTCGCGAACTGGAAGTCCCTTCATCGGAATGCGGAAATAGCTGTACTCGACGCTGATGACCTCAATCTCTTGTGGTCCTTGTTCTGGCGGCGGTGGCTCCTCGGTAGGTTCAGGTGATTTTGCTGCTCCTCCGAAGAATTCGTAGGTCACTTCTTCCTCTGACTCTTCCTGCATTGGTTCGGGTGTGTCACGAGCATACTGATCTGGGAGGGGAGGTCCCCCCCAGCTGGTGCCACGTGTTGCCCAATATGGGTCGACCGCCGCAACTTCCGCAGAGGGGGATCCTGGGGCTTCTGGATAAGTAGGGTTTGGTAAACTCCAGCCTCCTTCACGAGTTGGAGCTCTCCAAGCGTCGCCAGTTCCCCAGTCGCCTTCGGTTCCAGCTCCGGCTTCCGTTGGAAAGGTGGCGCCACTTTCCGACGCCGAGACAGTCCCTCGCTCTTCTGCTACCGCTTCTTCTGGCGTCAGGACTTCACCCAAGGGTCCAACTGCAGGACCGGATTTGCCTGCGCTTTTTTCAGTATTTTTGCTTTCTTTAGTTACTGGTTTGGCAGGTTCTGACGTGCCGCTATTATCTTCCATTTATGCAGGTCCAGTCTCAGCCTGGTTGGAGGTCGAGGCAGTTGGGACGGTGCGTAGTCGCAGAAGACCGTCAGAGGCAGGTCGCTCGAGATCCATTTTTGCGGGATGCGACCATGTTGGTGTCTCCGAGGAAGTTGTCTTCAGTAGCAAGGTGCGGTGAGAATCTCCAGTGGTGCCTTGAGCTGAGAACTGCAGTACGAAGACTCCGTCATCGTCGATTGCCTTGCCAATGTAAGAGTTGTTGTAAAAGAGTTCGAAAGTTTTGTCTTTGCGATTACTTCGAATGTCGACTCCGCACCGCATGAGCTGCGCCGAAGAAAGCATGTTGTGCCGCAGATCTGGGGCGACGAGCATATCGCCAATGTGAATTGTGAACCTTGTATCATCAGCTTCAAGGTAGACCTCACCGATGTCGTATGCCTTGAGTGTGCCGTTGTTTGCTACTGTGATCTCGCAGGGTCGTTGCATGCGTTTGGAGTTGCTGATGAACGTTGGCGATCCCACCATGTGCTGTCCGCAGCAACTGTCCAGGTACCCGGTGTTGATGCTCTCGCGACTTTGACGTGCGATGTGGGCGATTCTCAGTGTAACAACGCGATCGAAATCGCCGGTGTATGGCGAGAGAGCGAAGTACCTGTTCGCTGAGATGCTGGGAGGTGATTCCGGTGTTGGCGGCGGCAGCTCAAAGTCAGTTGCTCCGACGTAGAAGACTAACTTCTCCTGCTTGGCGTTTTTCTCGTTGTACAGGTCAATCTCCTTTTGCTCGGAGAGAAGTGTGGCATACAAGGCCGACTCGGAAACGGTTGCTCGAGCGCGGAGCAGAGATTGGCATTGACGCCAGTCAGGCCCGAGTCCGGAAAGAACCATCGAGACGAACATATCGTCTGGGATGGATCCGCCGCACTTCTTGATGTGATCGCGCAGATTGCGGCACCAATTGATATATGGTCCCGCTTTCTCCCCTTGCCGCATTTTGACTGATGTAAGCTGGCTGAGTAGGCGACTCATAGTGACGGGATCTATTGCCATGTAAGAGTTGCGCAGATGCTCCTAGAAGGCGTACGCGGGCGCCCACTCTGACTTGTAGGAGCGAATGCCGAGCTGTTCGTCGGGGGAGAGATTTCGGAGCAGAGTGGTGTACGCGAGAAGGGATTCGTGGTAATATTGGGAGCGCCAGGTGAAATTAGGTGAGGAATGGTCGGTCGAACCTAGGGGTAGTGGAGCTAGGAACAACAACCCTAAATCCTGACCAAAGCGTGTGAGAGGGACGGAACGCCAAAGCTACACTAGGACTAGGAGTAGCGGCCTCCAGCCGCGGCGGAACGATGAACCCAGTGAAGGAACGGTAGGGAACGGGAAAACCGACGGTGAGAAAGCCCGAGAACGGCCTGTTAAGAGCCGTTGCGCACTAGATGGCCTGGGGGCGGCTGTTAGGGGCCTTGGGGGCGGCTGTGAAGGCCTGTGGGCTGGTTGTGTAGGCCTGTGGGCAGCTGGATGGTGCGCGCTACTCTACTGAATGCGTGCACTGTTCTGTAGGGGCGCGCTGCTCTGCAGGGGCGCGGGCTGTTCTGCAGGGTGGCGCGTGTTGCTCTGCAGGGGCGCGCGCTGCTCTGCAGGGGTGCGCACGACTCTGCTGGGTGGCGCGCGCTTCTCTGCAGGGTGGCGCGGGCTGCTCTGCAGGGGTGCACGGGCGACGCGTGGGCTAGGGGCAGAGCGCGCGCTAGGTGAGAGTACGGGGCGTAGGCGCAGGCTAAGTGCGCAAAAACGGGCTAGGAGGGAGGGGGGGGGGGGGAACGAGGGCGTGAGGCGCCACGGCGGAGCGAGCGAGCGCTAGGAGGAACGGACGGAGCGGGCTAGGCAAGGCTAGGCTAGCATAAGGATCGAACCTCAAGATACGCTCTCAAGAAGTGGTACGCACAACGGAATGGCTGTATTAGGGTTGGGAGACAGTACAAGTAGGAAGCCTAACAAAGTTGTACTCTCTAGGGAGTACCTCACTGCAGCCTATCACAATAATAACATTTGACATACCGTACTCTACCATGCTCACAGTGGAGCCAGCGCCCTCTAGTTCCTGCCACAGACTTCGGCTCTCTTAACTGCGTAACAATAAAGACACCCATACAGAGAGAGCACATGTGCTGCATAAGCGAGTAAAGACTCCCTAGAGAACTATCTGCCGGCTTGCCGTGTGGTGGTGTGATGCCGTGGCAGCACTCTCGACATCACGCTTCCCTGGCGGCACGAGGAGATGTCAAGCGGCCAGAGGGAGTGGCCATCAAAGTAGAGGTTCAAGCCAGGGAGAACCAGCGACGTGAGATCATCATCGTCATCATTGCAGTCACCCTCCTCTTCCTCTGCTCCGTTGTACCGCACACCACCAGCGCCAGCACCTGTACTGCTAGCATTAGCAGCAGCAGCAGCATCCTTGAGGCCAGCAGTGTCATGAGTGTGGTGTTGCCTGATGCTGCAGTGACACGCACACGTGTGAAAGGGGCAAAAATTACCTCGGTGGCCAGCCTGGTAGCGAGCATGGTGGCGAGCATGGTGACGAGCATGGTGGCGAGCATGGTGGCGAGCATGGTGGCGAGCATGGTGGCGAGCATGGTGGCGAGCATCAAACCGTACAAGAGTGCCAACAGCAAGTTGCAGCTTACAGCATTCAATGGGGGGCATAGACAATGCGCAACACACGGTGCGAAAGGGCGCGCACCAAAGGCGAGACGCAAAGCAGGGAGGTTCATGGAGTGACCCTCACCTATTGAGTGGCGGCGAGAGAGAGTGCTGCTGCATCCCATGCGTATGCGTGCACCGGGGTTGCATGCAGTGCCCTGCAATGAGGTGCGCGCAGACCAACGGCTCACTGTCCTGCCTGTTGTCCCTTGCACCGCCACATTCTCTGCTGCACCACCTGCCACCACAACCGTCCCTGCAGCAGGCACTAGCAGAAACAACACCAGCCTTACACCCAGAGCATGTCCTCACGCCCTCCCTTGCCTGCTCCAGCCGTGCACAAGACACATCCCCACCACTGCTGCCCCTCTCACCATACTCCACTCCACGCCCTCTCCACTCTAAACCCTCTCTCCCCCTTCTTCCCTCTCTCCCCTCCCACACGCCCCCACCTCCCCCTTCCCCCTCACACACCCCGCCTCCTCCCGCAAGCAACCACCTGCGCTGAAACGCGCAAATCCCGGGCGCATGCAGGGAGGAGGCAGCGAGGCAGAGAGGGCTGTGGGGGCGCAGGTCACGGATGAGAGCGAGCAGCAGGCGCCGCGTGGTCGTGGCGGCTGCTAGCTGCTGCTGCCGCTGGCCCGCGCCCAGCAAGGATGCTTCATGCGCCGCCCTGCACACCTGTGCGGTGGTAGCAAGGGGAGGGGGTGGGACGGGGGTTTGACTCGTCTCATTAGTTGTGTGCAGGCGGGATGCTTGGTGAGCTGTTCTGTATACCTGTGGTGGTGGCAAGGGGGGAGGGCGCAGGGGGGTGGGGGTGCGGGGTTCGCAGGGCGGGGTGATGAGGGGAGATGGGAGAGATGGGGGAGATGGGGAAAGATGGGGGGACGCTGAAGCTGCTGCATGCGTAATCAGCACATCTATCCGCTTTCAACCCGTAATTAACAAAACCAAAAGCAGTCAGGAAATCCGCAGGATCACCAACCAACCCCTTTTCAATAATCCCAACAGATAAAATCACATCCCATTACCAACCCCATTACCTGCGCACAGAGGGACGCGTCAAACAGAGGCAAGCCAAGGCTGAGGGAGTGCGGCATCCAGCCCTTGCTGCACCCCATAACGCGAGCATCATTGCCACAGCCACCACCACTGCGACCATGCTGATTGCCATGCTGTGCCGTGCATGTTTCACCATGCTCCACAGCTGCTTGCATCACACAAATACTGGATTCTTCTTCAGGTACATGCATGAGCGTGAGCACACCCATGCCTGTCAGCCCCAACGGATACGCCACTCTCTCTATGCACCTCATCCCCTCCACCTGCTGCAATGCTCGTCCTTCCGCTTCCTCTCTTGCTCTACCTCCCTTATTTTCCCTCGTGTGCTCTGTAGCCGCCCCACTGTCCGTTTCCTGATCTGCCTGCTCCTCCCCTGCCTCGTTACCCGTGAGGTTCTCGCCCCTGCTGCCACCACATACCACACCTTCTTGGTCCGTGTTAGCTGCCCCTGCTTCGGCTGCCCCTGTTTCGGCTGCCCCTGTTTCGGCTGCCCCTGTTTCGGCTGCCCCTGTTTCGGCTGCCCCTGTTTCGGCTGCCCCTGTTTCGGCTGCCCCTGCTTCGGCTGCCCCTGTTTCGATTGCCCCTGTTTCGGCTGCCCCTGTTTCGGCTGCCCCTGCTTCGGCTGCCCCTGTTTCGATTGCCCCTGTTCCTTCTGCTGCTGACCTCCCACGTAGCAAGTCACATGCTTCCATAGCATCACTGTCAGTACCACATGCACCTGCAGCAGCACCATCCGTCGGATCTGCAGCAGCACGCCCAGAAGCAACAGCGCGCCTGCGCGTGGGGAGGAGTGGCAGCGGTATGTGCCTTACAGCATAGCGCGAGCTCATAAGAGGTTGCACCATCACCGCTGATCGCAGCAGCAGCGTGTTCAACACATGCAGCAACACACCCCGAGGCACCACCGTCAAACCCCCCACTGTATCCTCACCCCACCCCACTCCCCCTCCCCCACCGCCATTCTCCCCCCCATCCCCCCACCACTCGTCCCCTCCTCCCCCGCCTGCCCTGCCCCCCTTGCGAATGTCCCCCCCATCCCACATTCCCACTAGAGCACACTCACACGTGCGCAGCACCAAGGGGAGGTGCCTGAGCCTCTGCCCGCGCACAAGAACGATGGTGGGGGGGGCGCAGCGGGAGAGCACGTACAGGAGAAGCTTCAGCCACGGCGTGGCGAAGGCAGGAGCGGGGGATCCGAAGTGCACCACTGCTGTTGCCGCTGCTGGTGCTGGTGCTTGTGCCGCTGGTGCTGCTGGTGCAGCGGGGGGCGGTGATGCTGGGTTCCCTGCTGCAGCTGCTGCAGCGGATAGGGATTGCACGTGGGTTGGCAGAGCAACAGAGGGGCTCCTGGGCGATGAGATGCTGGCAGCAGCAGGTAGTGTGGAATCATACTCGCCCGCACCACCTGAAGGTGCTGCTGCTGCTGCTGCTGCTGCAGCTACAGCAGGGGCAGCAGAGATCACAGCAGGGAGGGCAGGGGTATCACGGAGCGCGTCGGGGAAGGGAGGCGAGAGCATGGCGGATGGGAGGAGCGGGAGAGCGGAGACAATCACATGGTAGTCGCGGGACAGCAGGCGCTGCCGTATGGATGGAGAGAGACTCGCCAGGCTCTCCCCTCGAATAATCTCCACTCGGTTACACCGCACATGAGGAGGAAGAGTTGAGGAAGTGCCCGGCGTGAGGCTGCACAAGCTAGGAGGGGCTTCAGAGGATTTTCCAGCACGAGTGGCGGATGCTGCTGCAGAGACATGGTGCTGCCTTGGCGTGCCAGCAGAGTTGGATCTGCTGACACCCTTGTCGCTGCTGCTGCGCGTGGTGCTGCTGCTGCTGCTGCTGCTGTTGCTGCTGCTTCCCCTGGGCGTGAGCGCTACAGCGAGGGAGTCGGCTGTAGCTGTCACCCGCTCTGCCACGCTCCCTGCCACCGACCCTGCCACCTCGCTCAGCGCAAGGGAGATGCTGCCCGGGTAGAGGTGCAGGGAGGAGAGCGAGGAGAAGGAGGAGAGGGCGGAGAGGGAGGGGAGCGGGTGGGTGGGAACGGAGCTGGAAAGACGCGCCCCTGCTGCCTCTGCTGCGGTAATGAGGCGGTGGGACCATGTGGGGCCGGAGGGGGATGCAGAGGAGTGAGGAGTGGTGGAGGACGAGTGTGGGGATTGCAGAGAGGTGATGATGGTGGGAGGAGGTGTGCGGTGTGCAGGGGTAGGGGTGGGGTAGGTAGTGTTGCAGTCAAGGGTAGGAGATGTGGTTTGGAGGGAAGCGCTGTTGCCAGCAGCACTATTGGTGCTAGTGCCGCTTATCGTGCTGGCGGTTGCAGTGGTGTCACTGTCAACAGAGGAGGGAGCAGCAATACTAGCAAACCCAGCTGCTGATGGGGAGGGGATTCCTTGCATTAGGGGTGGGTGCAGAGCGGTAGCTGCTTCAGGTTCGTCTCTGGCACTCTCAGACGATGCTGATTGGACAGCTGTTGCAGCTCCTGCTATTCCTGCTGCTGCTGCTGCTGCTGCTGCTGTTGAAGCTGCTTCTGCTGTTTTTCCTGCTGCTGCTTGAAGCAAGTGGCTATCAGCGAATGCAGGCACAGGTAAGTCGTGGGACATAAGGGGGAGCGGGCCAGCAGCAGTGGCAGAGTCAGAAGCAGCAGCAGCAGCAGCAGAAGCAGCAGCAGCAGCAGCAGAAGCAGAAGCAGCAGCAGTTTTTGGAGGATAGGGCGCAACAGGAAGGGTGCTCCCTTTGAATGCAGCTGATTCAGGGCCTTGCCTTCCCTCCATGCCTTTGTGAATGCACTCATAAGTTATCTGTGCTGCTCCCTCCGCTTCGCCTCTCTCCATCCCATTCCCCAACGCACTCCGCTTCTCCTTCTCCTCTTCCTCCTCCTCCCCACAATTTCCTTCTCTACTCCTTGAGGTGGGCAAAGATAGAGCAGCAGAAGAGGGGACAGGAGAGGAAGAGGCAGCAGGGGAAGGGGAGGGGGAGGCGGAGAGAGGAGCAGAAGGGGAGGAAAAAGTTGAAGCAGAGGTGGGGACGGCAGGGGAGGCGGAGGTTGCAGCGGAGGGGGGCAGGGAGAGGCAGCGCAGGGTGGCGATGGCGCAGCGGAGGCAGGAGGCGAGGGTGCGCAGGCGCAGCAGGTCCCCTGCGAGGTCGGCGCTGTGCTCCACCAGGTGCAGCTGCTCCCACAGCTGCAGCACCTGCGGCTCTGCCAGCTTGCCCGCCTCAAACAGCATCACTGCGTGCCGCTTCAGGTCTGTGACGGCAGGGAGGAGGGCAGGGGACGCGTGGGGGGAGGCGGCAGGAAGGGGGTGGGAAGGGGAGAGAAAGAGAGGTGAGGTGAGGTGTGCATGGAAGCAAGTGGGGTGCGGTCACGTTACTGCAGTTCCTAAGGGTAGGCAGAGGGCAAGCCCAGGGCGGGTGCATGGTATGGCATGGCATGGCATGGCATGGCATGGCACATGTGCGCGTGTCCTCTGCTGCACTCATGACATGAGCCTCATGTGATGGCCTCCATGTGTCCCTGTGTAAACCCCTCCCCACCCTGCTACATGCGCACCGGGAAAGAGCATCCCAAGCACGAGGGATAAGTTCCCTCCGTGCCGCCAGTGCTTCCTACGCGATGCCCTCCCTGCCCTCCCTGTCCCTCGCCCCTCTGACCCCCCTGCCCCCCGTGCCAACTGTACCCCCTGTGGCGCGCATGCCACGTGCGGTGCGGTGCAAGCCCCAGTGTGGTCACACGCACCGTGGGAGAAGGACCCCATCATGAGGAACGACGTGATGCGCGCATCCACCAGCAGCGCCACACTCACTCGCTGCGCCGCCACCCCTTCCGCTCCATCCCCCACTGCCCCGCCCATACACCCTGACTCCACTGCTCCCCCCACTGATTCCGTCCCTGCCCCGCCCGTCAGACTAGACGCGGCAACTACCCCTGCTGCTGCTGCTGCTGTTGCTGCTGCTGCTGCTGCTGCTGCTGCTGCTGCTGCTGCTGCTGCTGCTGCTGCTGCTGCTGCTGCTGCTGCTGCTGCTGCTGCTGCTGCTGCTGCTGCTGCTGCTGCTGCTGCTGCTGCTGCTGCTGCTGCTGCTGCTGCTGCTGCTGCTGCTGCTGCTGCTGCTGCTGCTGCTGCTGCTGCTGCTGCTGCTGCTGCTGCTGCTGCTGCTGCTGCTGCTGCTGCTGCTGCTGCTGCTGCTGCTGCTGCTGCTGCTGCTGCTGCTGCTGCTGCTGCTGCTGCTGCTGCTGCTGCTGCTGCTGCTGCTGCTGCCCCGTCCACCACCACTACTCCTGCGCCTTTCCCTGCTGCTCCCGCTCCCATCCCAAGAGCGCCGCTGCTGCCACTGCTGCTACTGCAAGAGCTGGGGTTGAGGGTGAGGTGCGGTGAGGAGATCAGGGGGTCTGCGCTCGTTGGGAAGGTGGAGGGGAGAGGCACTGAGGGGGGTGCATGAGGCAGGGAGGAGTGAGGTGGTGTGGGAGTGATGCTGGCGAAAGGTCCACTGGTGGGTCTGTGCATGGGCAATAGAGAGGATACTGCTGCTGCTTCTGACTGCACTGATGCATGTGCTGCTGTGTGCGGTGCTGCTGGGTGCAGTGAGTGTGGCGTGAGGCTGTCAGCACTGCTGCTTGAGTCGAGCATTGCTCCGTCCAGTGCTGCTGCTGCATCAGGCACAGGTGCATCGTCACTTGCTGTTGCATGTCCATGTCCTGCAGCAGATGAAGCTGAAGCAGCAGCAGCAGCAGCAGGGGCAGCAGAAGGAGGAGCAGAAGGAGCAGCAGAAGAAAAGGGAGGAGGAGGAGCAGCAGGAAGGGGATTTTCAGAGGCGGGTGCAGCAGCAGGTACAAGCATTCCCTGGATGGCGTCTGTGGTTTGTCCTGCTGTAACCTGAACCACACTGCTCATGTCAGTCACACCAGCATTAATCTCACCAGCACCACTAGCACCAGCAGCACCAACACCAGCAACAGCACCAGCACCCCCAGCAGCAGCAGCAGCAGCAGCAGGTGTGCCATCCCCACGCTCTCCCTCGTCTGCTTCCCCAGGCACAACAACAGAGGCCACAGGAGCCTCCTCTGTGTCATGCAGCGGCAAGGGGCTAGACAAGTGATCAGGCAGAGGGCTGGGCAGTTGATCGGGCAGAGGGCTGGGCAGAGGGGAGGGGAGGGGCCCAGAGGAAGCAGGAGTGGGGGAGGGGAGCGGGGGGAGCTTTTCGGCCCAGCGCAGACGGCAGGCGAGGGAGACGATGGGCAGCAGGCGGTGCAGCGGCACCTGTAGCGTGTCCGCTAGCGCTGCCACTGTGGTGGTGTGACTCGCTGCCACTAGCAGGTCGTAGAACAGCCTGGTGGGGGCAAGGGGGCCATGGGGTGAGGGGGAGATGGGGCGAGCGTGGGGGGAAAAGTAGGGGAGGGTGGGGAACGAGTGGGGAAAAGGGAGACGGGGCGGTTGGGGGAAGTGAGGGTGGAGAGGGGACGGGAGAGGGGGTGGAGCGTTGCGGGAGAGATAGGCAAGAAGAGAGAAGTGGTTTGGAAAAAGAGGAGAGGAGGAGCGTGGGGGAGAGGAGAGGAATTAGAGGGTTTGAGGGGTGTGTTGTGCATGAGGGAGGCTGGATGGAGTGAGGCAGTGCAGTCATGTGGTGGACGAAATCACTTTTGAGGATTCTGAAAGTTAATTTCAACATGTGGTGGAAGAATGAGGTATGGCATACAGTCAACTCAAGTGGCAACGATGGCTATGTACACACAGATAAAGAGTAGCTACTGTAGATAGTTTCCCCCCTGCCCACCGCCCCTCCCTTTTCCCCCTCCCACCATCCCTCCCTTTCCCCCCTTCCCACCGTCCCTCCCTTTCCCCCCTGCCCACCACCCCTCTCATTCCCCCCTGCCCACCGCTCCTCTCATTTTCCCCTGCCCACCGCTCCTCTCATTCCCCCCTGCCCACCGCTCCTCTCATTCCCCCCTGCCCACCGCTCCTCTCATTCCCCCCTGCCCACCGCTCCTCTCATTCCCCCCTGCCCACCGACAATCTCTTTCCCCCCTGCCCTGCCCACCGCCCCTCCCTTTCTCTCTTCCCCCCAAGCGCGCGGCTCACTTCTCCATGTCCCTGGCGCCCTGTGTGTTGCGGTTGGACACAAAGCCATCCAGAGGCAGCACTGCAGGGCGGGCGGGGCAGAAGCAAAAGAGGTGGAGGCAAGAGGGGTGGAGGCAAGAGGGGTGGAGGCAAGAGGGGTGGAGGAGGGAGAAAGGAAGAGATGGGGAAAGGGGAGATGCTGGGTGAGGCGGCACCGGTCTGATCTGACTCAGATCAAGCGATTGCCAGTGGATGGGATTCCGCATGGGGAGAGGAGCACTGCTTGGGAATGGAGCTGATAGCTACAAATGGTGTCGTGCTGTAAAGGGCGGAGCTGTAAAGGGCGGAGCTGTACTCCGTACAGAGGCCTCCCACTCACACTGCACGCGGTCAGAGGGCAGCACGGGCACGTCTAGGTATACGAGGTGGCGGCAGTACAGCTGCCGCACCACATCCTCACGCATCTCCCCCACCAGCATGCGCCCGCCCTCCGCCTGCTGCAGCACCTGCAGCGCATACAGCTCGTCATCCGACAACCCTTGCAGGTCGTCGCCTTCCACCGCCACTGCTGACACCCCCCACCAGGGCAGCAGGGCCGCTTCTGCTGCTGCTGGCTGCTGCGGGAGGGAGTCGCGCAGCTGCTGCTTGCGGCTCAGCCGCCACATCAGCTGTGGGCGGGGGTCGGGGCAGGAGGGAGATGTGCGGAGGGTGTGACGGGAAGGACACGGGAAGGCGGGTAGGGGATGATGTGCGAGGAGAGTTGAGCTGGGATGATTGTGGTTGTGGTGATGACGAGTTGTGAGCCCAAGGCTCTGAATCAACCTCGGCCTATTGAGAAGCGCAAGCCTCTGCTGTTGCCCTAATATATATTCTTCGAGTATATCTGGGACTTGATTTTGCCCCTTCGGTTCGGGCCGGAACGAACCGAGTTGGGTTCAGAAAAACCGCTTGTGTGGTAGGAGAGTAGTGTGTGGAGAGGGAGGGAGGGGAGGGATGACTGTGTGTCAATGCCTTCATGGGGGTGTGAAATCCTGATTATTGAATTCATCGTTATTTCTTCGATTATGTCAATATTTTTCTTCTACCGCTGTAGCTGCAGTGACTAAAGTGTGTGCATCATGGAATTAAAAAGTTGTCACAAGCCATGCCATGGCATGGCACGCAGGCAGGCACACACCGTGGATCGAGCAGCGAGCATGGTGTGCAGGTACTGGTTGCGCCCCACGCCCAGCACCCTCACTATGTCCGCTGCTGTGATGTTGGGCAGACTGTCATACGACCGCTCTGAGAAGGTGCACAGGGATGGGGTTGGGGTGTGAAGAGGAGAGGGAGGTCGGAGTGGCAGAAAAACAAGACGAGAATGGTAAGGAGGGTGTGATGGTGAGGGTGAGAATGAGGAGGAGGTGCGAGTGAGAAGAAACGCAATTCTCGTGCCCTATCTGCTGTACGACGGCTTGACATGTATGCACGCAGCGCAGCTTCACGGCATGAATGCATTGCAATAAGGAATACAAGTTACACTGTTACAGACATTCAGTGACACTGTGTGTGTGTGTTAATGAAAACCCACGCAACTTGGTTCCCTCCCGCCCTCCCCCCTTGGGTCCTGAACACAGATGCTCTCCCCCAACACTTCTGTTCTGACCCATGCCATGCCCGGCGATTTTCGAGGCGCCTCAAAAGTCGGCTCAGGGCATGCGTGGCCCTGCCTACCTCCACCCTTGAGAATTCTCGTGCGTGTACCCACCCACCCTCTGCCGCCGCGCCCTGCGCTCACCCTGTGCCATGGCGTCAACGAGCATGTCGCGGTAGAAGCGGAAGGGCGAGATGCGCAGCACTCCACAGATGTACGCGCTCAGATGGTACGGGAACACCTGCACGCCCAGGGGCACAAACGCATGCAAGGAGAGAGGGTGGGGGGAGGAGGAAGACCGGGGTGTTTGGGGGGGGAGAGTCTGTGCTGTGCTGTGCTGTGCTGTGCTGTGATGGGGGCTTGACTTGAACGGCTATGGACGTGCATGTCTCATGCATGACACATGCATGGCGCGTACGAGTCACGTGCATTAGATGAGAGCATGCGAGCACAGGGAGGTGTACGAGTCGTGCATGGGAATGGGGGCCCCTAGAACGGAGCATGCGCAGCATGGGGCAGTGTGTGAGAGCGATGGATGTCGGAGCATGCCAGAGAACAGACAACCCAAACCAAAGGCTATGCCACTAGGCAAGGTGCAGGCTAGGCAAGGTGCGGGCTAGGCAAGGTGCGGGCTAGGCAAGGTGCGGGCTAGGCAAGGTGTGGGCAAGATGACACAGGGCACAACAGGACTAGAAACGGCAGTGACGTGACGAGCCTTGCATGATACGAGTCACTGGTTCAGGACGGAGGACGGACCGCAGAGGGGTGAGGGGCAAGGGAAGTGAGGGGGGATATGGGGGAAGCGGGGGGGAGGGGGAGGAGGGGGGGGAGGGGAGGAGGAGGAGGGGAGGGGGGGGAAGGGGGGAAGTGAGGGAGGGGAGGAGGGGGGGATGGGGGGAAGCGAGGGGAGGGGGAGGAGGGGGGGAAGGGGAGGGGGGGAATGGGCTTATGGGAGACGAGAGAAATGCAGGACAAGGGAGGGAATAAGGAAGCAATGGCTCGGGCTTGCGTGATGTGCGAGGGGGAGTCACAAACGGGAGCTCGAGTGAGGGAGGTGGGGTTCAAACGGACAACGCAGACGCAACAAGGGAGGGGCACAAGGGAGGGGCACAAGGGAGAGGCACAAGGGAGAGGCACAAGGGAGAGGCACAAGGGAGAGGCACAAGGGAGAGGCACAAGGGAGGGGCACAAGGGAGAGTTGGCGGTGGAGCAGGGCACGCACGTCCTGGTTGTGGTGCAGGATGGAGAGCAGGTCCAGGTAGTAGTCGTGCTCGCTGCACATGGGCCCCAGCAGCTGCGCGTGCCACGGCCGCTGCATGCGCAGTGACTCCGCCATGGATCTGACGAGTGCCACGAGAGGGGGGGGGGGAGAAGGTGGGAGGGGGTTGGGTGGGGTGGGGGAGAGAGGAACGGGGGCGGGATAGGGGAGGGGGAGGGGGAAAAGGGGAGGAGGGGGGAAAGGGAGGGTGAGGTGGAGGTTTTGCAGATGCATGGGAGGGGATGCATGGGAGGGAGGTGGCAAATGGATGGAAATGCGTGTAAATTGTAACCATATGGCACGGCACAGTGGTTGTCCCTCGATTCCCCACTCCTCTCTCGCTCACCTCACCCTGCTGTCATTACATCCTTTCCTCTCATTCTCCCTTTCCTCTTTCCCCTCCCTTTTTTTCCCCTCCACCGCCTCCCTTTCACTCCCCTCCTTCCTCTCCCCCCTCTGCCCGCTCGCATCGCGCATGCCGCCCCCCATGCGAGCGGCCGCATTGCACTTATTGCTGCACACCCATGCACGTACCCACCACGCACTGCTGCATGCATGCATGGACCACACCACAATGACTCATGGATGGACCCACAATGATTCTCCAGACGTCTCAGGAGAAATAAACCAGCCGTTCTTGCTGCAGGTACAGCGCGTTTTCCCCCCATTCCCCTGCAAGCCACTGCACTCACCGCTGCAAGTACAGCTGCATAGACCCCAGCGCATTGCGCGCGCGCTGCGGCAGCTGGTGCCACGGCACGCGCGCCTCGATCGCGCGCTCAATCGCCGCTTGCTCCGCCGACCGCGCCGACGCCGCTGCTGCCGCTGACGGCCCTCCCCCGCCCGCCGCTGCCGGCGACGACACCATGACGCCTTGTCCGTCCTGCACTCCCACTCACCCACTTGCGCGCCCACTTGCGCGCCCACTTGCGCGCCCACTTGCGCGCCCACTTGCGCGCCCACTTGCGCGCCCACTTGCGCGCCCGTCTGTCCGCCTTTGCACTTCCAATGCTGCTTCTTCCACCCCGCACCCTCCCCCCGCACACCTCCTCTCGCCCTCCTGTTTCGGCTCGAGTCACAGGTATGCGTGCAGTCGTCCACGTGTATAGGAGCTACTTGCGAGCGTTTTCAATAGCAACTCTGTCTCGCACGCGCACGGAGTGAGCTGCTTTCGCGGCTCACCGATTGCACTGGTACGCCTCGACTCTACGACTCTACGCACTGATGGTGAATGCGCGCCTCTAAGACCTGATGACATTAGGAATGTTCGACAGTACGTCTCTATGTGTCTACGACCATGCCTCTGTGCTCGCGTAAACACGACCTCGCAGCGAGCTGTTGGCAATCTTCGCAAGGCACCTCAGATCGAGAGAGCGAGAGTTCCACACAATGCGCCCGTCTCCTGCCTGCCCTTTGTATCGTGTGCGCTTCCCACTGCGCTTCCCAGTGCGCTTCCCCCTGCGCTCGTCACTCGCCGCCGCGGCGCCTAATTTCCTTAGAACCACGCTCTCGCCGCTGCTAGGCCGCAATGCGCGCTGTTTCCGGGGGGCGCGCCGCGCAACATTTCCGCGCGCGGAGAACGGGTGAATTGCGTGCGGCACAAGGCGATGGCGCGTTGAATCCGCGCAATGGGTATGACGTGGGCTTACGACGCGGCACGAGCGGATGGTGCTGTGCAATGAGGAGTCTGGGGCGGCGAAGGGGCGTGGCGAAACAATGGCGAACGAATGGCGAAAGAGTGGTGAACGAATCCGAGGTCCTCGGCAGAGCAGCGGTTCGATACTACCACCACCTGCTTCGATGTCCGCCCGGAACGTCCCGATCAATAGATGGGTGAGCGACGAAGGTGAGAGAGTGAGAGACGTGGGTGGGGGGCACGGCAGAAGGCAGGGGAGGGACGATAGGCACGAGGGAGGGAGCGAGCAGGGAAGGGAACGACGCAAGGACAGAAGGGACGAAATTGGTGCTGCACGAGCAGGGAGGCGAACGTGGGGCGATGGAATCAGGTGCCCAGGCAGTGTCAGGTGGTGCAACAGCACATCACTGGCTGTCGCACGATTTCGCCGCTGCTTCGTTACTGTACATGGTTACAATAAATATTTCATGTTATTAGTTGTTAATGTAAGAGTGCGCGGAAGTCAATATCTAAACTGTGATTACACGCAGGCAGTGGTTTTTTTGGGTTGCATAGCAACCCTATATAATTGGTTTCACATTTTGGGGATGTCATTTCAAAAATGATTTTTATGCACAAGTGAGGCATGTATATTTTAAACAGATGCCTCGAAAAGTGGATAAACAATCACTAATGAACGACACCTCCCTAAATGTGAAATCAAAGGTGTGCGTACCATGTTGATTCCATGAACACATCCGAACATCCCAGCATCAGCATCGTCGATTAATACGGCGAATGGCATGAATGGACAACAAATTCAGGCATCGACATGTACGAGAGAAATTTTACAATTGAACAGCACAGAACAGAGTTAGCGTTTACAACAAAAACATTTCGAAGAGGATGTCAATATAGATCAATGCAGCAACTGAGATTGATGGGGTCGTTGAAACAGCGAAGACACGCTGCCCCAACGATGATGACAACCCCAATTTGCATACACGACCCATATCAACACCGCGCTCCAAAACACAAACACGACACATTAACAAGAGTGAAACGCGTACTATTAGGATTACGATAATACGTAACGATTGTGAATGCTTCAAAGCTAATGCTAAAATGCATCGATGCTGCAGCAGAGATTGATGGGGTCGTTGAAACAGCAAAAACACGCTGCCCCAACGACGATGACAACCTCTGCTGCACACACGAGGCAGATTATCATCACCCCGAAACAAACACAACCACGAACTCATACGCACACACAGGCACACACATACATATATACACATACGGACACACACTCACATATATACACACATACGCACAATTACACAGATACACACATGATGAGCATGCAAGCATCCAAGCATTGCAAGCGAGTTAAGCTACGCATACAGCATTGCTAGTGTGTCCATTCTTCCCCTTCCCCCGCCCTGCCCCCCGCCCTGCCCCCCTCCTCCCCCCCATCCCCCCCCGTGCCCCCCTGCCCCCGTCCCCCCCACCCCCCCCTTCCCCACCACATCTATCTTTTATCTCGCTTCCCCCTTCTCTCTCACACCCTCCCCCCTTATCTTCGCAAGCAAAAACACATAATGCAGCTCGCGCCCTGCAAAGGAAAGCAAAAACAGATGCAACCGGCACGCCCTGCACAAGAAAAACAAAATACAGGTTATATAGCTCACGCATTCCGCACAACATACATGTTCTTGAAGAGTGCAATAGTTGGCCGTGACCGGTAAAAACAGATTAAATCTAACTACTGGCGCTGCCTCCCCTGCACACGCCCTCTCCTTCGCTCACTTCTCCTTCGCTCACTCGCTCTCCCTCACTCCTCTCTCTCCCCCACGCGCACCCTCTAACCATCGTCCGCCATCGAACGAAGTAAGCGTGCACCAGCCAAGCATCATGGGAGCCACGAGATACGTAACGATGACCTAACTAAGAAAAACATACAAATTCATTCTCTCTTAGCCTCAGCATTTCCCTAAAACTCAACCAACCCCTGCCCTCGCCTTCTCCCTCTCCTTCGCACCTCTCACTCGCTCTCTCCCTCGCCCTCTCGTCATCTCCTATTTTCAATTTCTCTAGCCTTTTCGCTTACCGACTGCCGATGATGCTCGCACCCCGCGTTGTTGCTGCCGCCGCCAATAAGAGGAGCTCTCGCAGGTGAAATTCCTGGAGGGCGGGTGTGGGGAACGGGCGTGGGATAGGAGGGTGATTATTATCAAGTGCGCTTGACATCAACCAAAAGGCGCCAGCGGCGGCGCCAAAAGGCGCCAGCGGCGGCGCCAAAAGGCGCCAGCGGCAGCGCCAAAAGGCGCCAGCACCAGCGCCAAAAGGCGCTAGCGGCAGCGCCAAAAGGCGCCAGCGCGAGCGCCAAAAGGCGCCAGCACCAGCGCCAAAAGGCGCCAGCACCAGCGCCAAAAGGCGCCAGCGCCAGCGCCAAAAGGCGCCAGCGCCAGCGCCAAAAGGCGCCAGCGCCAGCGCCAAAAGGCGCCAGCGGCAGCGCCAAAAGGCGCCAGCACCAGCGCCAAAAGGCGCCAGCACAAGCGTCAAAAGGCGCCAGCACCAGCGCCTAAAGGCGCCAGCACCAGCGCCAAAAGCCGCCAGCGCCAAAAGGAGTTAGCGCCAGCGCCAAAAGGCGCCAGCGGCAGCGCCAAAAGGCGCCAGCACCAGCGCCAAAAGGCGCCAGCACAAGCGCCAAAAGGCGCCAGCACCAGCGCCTAAAGGCGCCAGCACCAGCTCCAAAAGCCGCCAGCGCCAGCGCCAAAAGGAGTCAGCGCCAGCGCCAAAAGGCGCCAGCGGCAGCGCCAAAAGGCGCCAGCACCAGCGCCAAAAGGCGCCAGCACCAGCGCCAAAAGGCGCCAGCGCCAGCGCCAAAAGGCGCCAGCGCCCAACGGCGCCGGCAACTTACACGCCAATGACGCCTAAGGCCAACGGCCATGGCACTAACGCCCAAGGGCCAGCAGCTTACGCGCCATCGGCCTGGTTTGAGCGCTAAGGCGTGAGTGCCCTAAGGCGAGCTTTATTGCCTATTGCACGAGGGATAAGGGCAAGCGCTCTAGGCGCGCGTGGCTTAGACACTGACAAGATAGAGAAGTACCTGGGAAGGTGGTTGGAGTTCTTGATTGGCTGGAGAGTTGGAAAGAGGGTGAGAGAAAGCTTCGAGAGCATTTGGGGGGAGCAGTTGGTTGGGTTGGGAGAAGAACAAAACCCTAGGCAACTGGGTGGGACTGTTCATCCCAAACCCAAGTCAGCAAAATATATTCTACAGCAAAAGTGGGTTCTAACTTCTAAGTAATATATGTTCCAGTATGTTGATAGTGGTCTGATTGTTCATAATTGAATAATATGAATATGTATCTTTCTTATCTTGTTATCATTATGTTATTCACGATTGGTCATTTCCACTGTACCCTTTGTTTGCAACTTCTATTATACCCACACAAAAATTCATAATGGTATATTGTCAAATGGAATGCAATTATTTGCTTAGATTCTGCTATGTTTTCTTTTCTCTAGCAAAAAATTGACATATAATGGTTAAATAATGTCCATCTACCATGGATCGAAGTATTTCATTTCACTATTGTCAAGTTATTTTTTTCATTGATGAGTTATTACTGAAATACTCTTTATAAACTTGTAGACATGAGGGACGTTGTATGATATTTTCTAACACTCTACGCAACCCTTCCGACGTTTGAACGTCGAGTCTTGTTATGAGAGTAAACTATATGTTTCTCTGCGAATCAGAGTGTTTTTTTATAGGTTACTCTGTACTTGCTGGGTAATTTTTTTGGGAATTATTTTTTCTCTGATTTGTCAAAGTATTCTTGTAAGGGACTCTGATGCCTTAGTGTAATTTTCAGGAGACTATTGATTTGTCAAATGTTGTAGCCTGTAGTGAGGCTTGTCTTATGGGGTACAAATGTTAGGGTTAGGAATATGTACCCCAACGAGGGCTGACGTTTCATTTTAAGCTTCCCTGATTCCGGGGAAAATTTTCCCCCTCTATTATGGGTGCACATTTTCCAGAAAAGCAGCACCCTGATTGCTCAGGGTTGTAAAGTAGTTAACACTGATTGTTCAGGGTCGAGAACTGAACATCAGAGTAGTAACGCCCGCTTTGTTACCGGGGAAAATATCCCCTCTCCATAAAGTCTCGAAGTTTCGATCAGAACGAAGTTTCGAAGAAACTTCGTCTCGATAAAGCGGGAAGGGGGGGGATTACGCACATGTCGGGGGATCACTGCGATCAATCCAAGGCGGGGTCATCGGAAAGAAACTTCCGAGAAACTTCTTTTCGATAAGTCGGGGAAAATATCCCCACTCTCCATAAAGTCTCGAAGTTTCGATCAGAACGAAGGTTCAAAGAAACTTCGTCTCGATAAAGCGGGAAGGGGGGGGATTACGCACATGTGGGGGGATCACTGCGATCTCCAAGGCGGGGTCATCGGAAGGAAACTTCCGAGAAACTTCTTCTCGATAAGTCAGGGTCCACACAGTCGATACTCTGTTAAGTCAGGGTCCACTAACAGCCTAGTCTGTTACACTGTACTCAAAATCAGGGATAGCTAAACTATTACTCTGATTGGATCAGGGCTAGAAATTCAATAACTCTGAAATTTCAGTCTCCACGAAGTGGAAAGCCTGAAATCACCCTGAAATCAGGGTAATTACCCTGATAAAATCAGCCCTGACCCCAACCCACATCAACGCACACACAATTCAGTTTCTGACATGGTATCAGAGCGGTTAGGATCCCGTGGGATCTCGTTCCTCTCGTTCACGTCTGTAGTGCCCGAGCCTGTCCCGTACCCTAGTGCCCATTACGCCCGTACTGTCCCTTAGAGCATATTCCTATCCTCGTATCACGAGAACCTCATATCAACCTCCCACTGAAAATTCCCCTAAACCCAAAACCTCTCGCTAGTTTTACCAGGCAAAAAGTACAATCTTGATATGAGGTTTTCTTGATACGAGGATAGGAATACGCTCTTAGTACCTATCCTGCTCGTCTCTCTCGTGCCCTAGCGCCCAATGCGCCTGCCGTCGCGTCGTCCCTGGCAGTCGCATCCTGTCCCGTCGTGTCGCTGTCAAACATTATATATGTTGTGTTAGTTTAGGCTACAGTGGGTTAGCCTATAGGGGGTACACAATTCTAGGGTTAGGTACTTGTACTCTTTTCATTGCTAGTTCATTCATTCCTGTTCAGTGATTCCAACATGGTATAGAGCAGGTCCTTCCTAGGACCGAAAGTTTCTAAGGGCCCACCACTACGTAACTACCTACCTACCTACCTACCCGTGCCCTAGGGCGCCTAGGCGTGTCACGCCCCTAGAGGCCCCTCTTGACGGCCCCGCGCTAGCCCCGTTCAGGCCCCGTCGGCCCCTTTAAGGCCCCGTTCAGGCCCCGCGCTAGCCCCGTTTAGGCCCCGTCGGCCCCGTTTCAGGCCCCGTCGGCCCCACGCTAGCCCCTCTCAGGCCCCGTCGACCCGCGCTAGCCCCGTTTCAGGCCCCGTCGGCCCCTTTTCAGGCCCCGTCGGCCCCGCGCTAGCCCCTCTCAGGCCCCGTCGGCCCGCGCTAGCCCCGTTTCAGGCCCCGTCGGCCCCGTTTCAGGCCCCGTCGGCCCCGCGCTAGCCCCTCTCAGGCCCCGTCGGCCCGCGCTAGCCCCGTTTCAGGCCCCGTCGGCCCGCGCTAGCCCCGTCTCAGGCCCCGTAGGCCCCGCGCTAGCCCCTCCCAGGCCCCGTCGGCCCCGCGCTAGCCCCATTCAGGCCCCGATCGGGCCCGCGCTAGCCCCGTTTCAGGCCCCTTCGGCCCCGTTTCAGGCCCCGTCGGCCCCGCGCTAGCCCCGTTCAGGCCCCGTCGGCCCCTTGCTAGCCCCGTCAAGGCCCCGTTTGGCCCCGCGCTAGCCCCGCTCAGGCCCCGATCGGCCCCGCGCTCGCCCCTCTAGGGCCCCAACCGGCCCCGTGCCTACCTCGCCGACCCGTGCCCACCACCCAGAGGCCCCGGGCGGCCCGTTCCCGCCGCAGCACAAGAGGGAGAGCGGGCGGCCCGTCCCCGCCGTGACACGAGCCGAGCCGCGCCACCCAGCCGAGCCGCGACCCGACCTGAACCGAGCCGCGCCGCCCTGCCCTACTTGGTTCGTCCTACCTGCTTCTCCTACCGCTACTGCTGCTATTTCTACTGTTCCTATGGCTAGCCCACAGGTTCTCGTGTTCGATGCTGAGGGCCGCCCTGTGAAGTTTGACACCTGGCTCGATGACCTGCACCTCTACCTACAGCTCACAGCCAAGGATGACATCTCACTGTACGATCACGCCCTAGGCCTTGTCACTGCCCCTGCTGCTACTGCTGACAGCACTGCTCGCTCACAGTGGCAGACTCGTGATGCCCACGCTCGCTTCGCCATTCGCAACTCCCTGCCGATAGACGAACGCGAGCACTTTGGTCAGCACAAGACTGCACCGGCACTGTACACAGTTGTAGTTGCTCGCTACTCCTCACCTGCCTCTGCCGCACTAGGCCGTCTCTCCCTCCCCTACCTGTTTCCCGACCTGGCCTCCTTTCACACAGTCGCTGACCTCATCACGCACCTCCGTACTAGTGAGGCCCGCTTCCGTGCCGCCATGCCTGCTGATTTCCTTGCCACGCACCCCCCTCCACTCTGGCTCACTCTCTATCACCTAGTCACCCGCCTCCCTGACACACTGCGTGCTGTCAGGGACCACTTCCTAGCTCGTTGCCCCACTGAGCTCACCATTGCCCTCCTCGAGAAGGAGCTACTTGCAGCTGAGGCTAGCATAGTCGCTGTAGGTGCCTCTCGTGGCGACCCCCGTACCCCGTTCTTTGAGGGGTGTTCTCCTTCCCCCCTTCTTCCCTCTGTCGCCTCTGCTGCTGCTGTCGACCTTCTTGGTACTGAGAAGGTCGGCGCTGCGTCTGCCTCGAGCGGACGCCGCAGCGGCAAGGGCAAAGGGGGCAAGGGTAGTGGCGGTGACGGCGGGGGAGGCGGCGGTGGGGGCGGTGGAGGCAGTGGGGGTGGTGGCTCGGCTGGAGGGGCGAGTGGTAGCGGTGGGGGTGGTGGCGGCAGCGGCGGGGGAGGTGGCAGGAGTGGAGGCGGCGGTTGGGGTGGCGGTGGACGAGGCGGCGGCAGAGGTTGGGGTGGTCGAGGAGGTGGCAGCGGTGGTGGTGGCCGTGGAGGCGCTGGCGGTGGCCAGGGCCAGCAGCACACTCTCTCGCCCCAGGAGGTCCGTGAGTGGTACTCTCAGCACGGGGGTGGGGGTGGTCTTAGCTGCACGTACGTCATTCGCACTGGTGACCGCACTGGTCAGCAGTGTGGACGACCGCACGCCACACAGCGCTGCTTCTCTCGTCTCGACGACGCTTGGCGTGTTCAGTTCCCTCAGGCCACTGAGCTGCCCCGCTGGCTTGATCTCCTGAAGAAGGGGATTGATATCTATGCTCTAGACTTTGATGCTATTCTATCTGCCATGTATGTGATGTCTACTAGTGGAGAGGGTGCTGAGTACTTGTGTGTGCCGCCCGACCCGGGCATTAGGGCCAGTGCGTCTGCCGCTCCAGGTACTCACGTGTCGGCTACCCCAGGTGCTGGTGAGGCTGCTGCTCTAGGTGCTCGTGTGTCTCCCCCCCTTGGTACTGCGTCGACTGCCGCACTGCACACCTTCACACTGGACTCAGGTGCTTCTCGCTGCTTCTTTCGTGACCGCACTGCCCTTGAGCCGCTTGCTCGGCCAGTTGCTGTCTCCCTTGCTGACCCCTCTGGGGGTCCGGTCATTGCGACCTCTTCCACTGTCCTTCCCTGCCCTGCGGTCCCGTCGGGCACACTGTCAGGTCTCCACCTCCCCTCGTTCTCTACGAACTTGGTGGCAGGCTGTGCACTCCAGGACGGGGGTGTTCACCAGTTCACCCCTGCCTACGAGCGCGTGACACACTGCACGTGTGCTCGTACGGGCCGTCACTTGGCTACCTTCACTCGGCAGCCGGGGTCGGACCTGTACACACTGACTACTGAGTCCCCTCAGGTTGCTGCGACTGCGTCCGCGTCCGCGTCAGGTCAGCTGTCCGCCCCCTGCTCGTGTCGCTCTTTGGCACACGAGACTGTCCTCTGGCACCACCGCCTTGGCCACCCGTCTGTGCAGCGGCTTCGTGCCA